AAAAAAAAAAAAACTCAATCATGCTCGATAAGGCCAATTCTCGACTCGACTCGACTCGACTCGACTCGACTCGACTCGTTTGCAGCCTTGTGTAGCCCTAAGTATTTTTATATATTTATTTATTTATTTTTTTTGTAAAAGTGCGCATAAAATAGACACTGTAATTTTGGAACATGTCGTGAAACCTGAGTGCGTAATTTTCATTGCCGAAGAGCTCGAGAGCTGCGGCCGTCCAATTCCACCGAGGTGCCTTTTTCTTCTCTGAAGCAAAATTGTTTCCACTCTATCTTATTGTATGAACTTCTTCACAATCCACTCCTTTTTGTGTCATATATTCATATTTGTTAGATTTAAGTGCCAATGTTTGTGTATAGATCGATTAGGTTTTAACATTTAATCTAATGTTGAAATTGAAGGTCCGCAGTTCATTATTAAGATCTATTTGGTCGATTAATGGGCCTCTGTGATTATGTATTTTGATTAAATGGAACAGTTAGGGATATTTGATTCTCTAAGAATTAGATGTTGGGTTGGGTTTTTTTTTTTTTTTTTCGGTTAATATGAATAGTTCTAGCTAATTAGAGGTTTTCTTGGGATGAAGATTAGGAAAAAAAGGCTGGTGCTGGGAAATTGAAACATTTTTCGCGATTTAAATGGACGAACGTGTGTGTCTGTTAATTATAATTAGATCCGTCTACTACTTAATGTTGTTGAGAAACTGGATTTTATGGCTTCACAGAGTTTGGTTTTTGATTGGGGAGGTAATTGACGATCATCTCTTGGTTACCATTGTTCTGCATTTGGCTAGTGATGATCGGTTTATCAACGCAGAAGAGAGAAAAAGCTTGAATGGCTATAGCCAATTTGTCTTCCAATTTATTGAGCTTGTCAATGAATTGATGATCAATGACAAGTGTGGTTTGGCAAAATTGCGTAGAAAGCTTTATCGTGTTTGATTTAGCCTCGTTCGTTCTGCTGAGCTTCATCGATTATTGGGTTTCTTTTTTTTTTCTTCACTACCTTGGGATTGTTAATTTCTTTGCTGAAAATCGCGAATTTAGGTTTGGAGGATAATTGGAAGGGCCTCCTTTTTTTATCTGTTTTATCTGCGCACCTCAATTTCTAAACTACCTCTATATGAATGTTCGTTCACATGTTGTTATGTGTTTTTTTATTGAGTTGGAGCCCCTTTTTTCATCCTAACATATTGATTCTCTGCAATCACTTCAGGTCAAAAGCAAAAGAAATATACAAATACAAAGTTCAACGCCACTTATCTGAGTTTCCTACTATGACATGACTGACTGGATGAACTTGGTCATTAATTCTGAGTAAAAATGGCAGATATCTTCAACTACACAACATGCAGACAGCTGTCTCAAATGTTGTTTGCCGTAATCTTTTTCCACAGCTCCGAGTATGTTCTGGCAATAACCATTCATGGGAAAAACAATGTTTCCCTGAGGTCTCTTTTAATCAGCAAGAGTTATCTCCTAGCCATGGTTGGTTCGTTGGTAGAGTACTTCATAGAAATTTATTTCTTCCCAGAGATTAAAGAACACTGGTTTTTAAGCAACACGGGCCTAGCCATGGTGGTTTTTGGCGAAATTATTCGGAAATTAGCTATAATTACAGCTGGCAGGTCTTTTACTCATCTCATAAGGAGACATCACGAGGCGCATCATGTGTTGGTAACTCATGGGGTTTATAAGTATATGAGGCACCCGAGCTATTGTGGCTTTTTCATATGGTCGGTTGGTACACAGATAATGCTATGTAACCCGGTGGCTACAGTCGCATTTGCATTCGTCGTGTGGCGTTTTTTCCATATGAGGATACCGTACGAGGAGTTTTTCTTGAGGCAGTTTTTTGGTTCGGATTATGAAGAGTATGCTAGAAGGACAGTGTCTGGGGTCCCGTTTATCGACTGATGTAACGAGATGTAATGTATGGGGGATTGTGTGTGCTGTGGTTATATGAGTAAATGTGAATGTTGTTTGCAATGCCAATACTTCATTCTCATTTTGTCATTCTATTTAAGCAAGTTGGAATTATTACAAAACTTACCCTGTGTTTGGAGGCAATTACAGAGAAACCAAACAAGCTGTCAAAATTGAACAGTAAAAATAGAACCTGAAGTTTGATCTTCTTGTATGATTGTATCTCTCCTAATAGCAAGTAAAAAAGTTTCAACTCCAAATTTGGGGTTAACATGGCAAACCTTAGTGGATGATATAATTTTAAAAATTAAAACTAACATAAGACAGTTGGTTAAGCTTTAAACCAATGAGGCTAAGACACGTGGTCCCTATAAACTCTAAACGAAATAGAAACGAGAAAATAAAACGCGCTTTTACAAGTGGAACATGAACCAGTTATAATGTCATCCTCGGACGACTGGGATTGAACAAGATAAAGGTCGTAGTCTCTACATATCACATGCTAATGAAATTCCCGATTAAGAATGACATTGTAAAGGTCCACGAAGACTGAGGGGTGGTAAGACAATAGTGTCACTCAAATGTAAAGGAAAGAACTCAGAAGCTCTAACCATACAAAGCTTAGACTCAGAGGACAAGATTAAGAAAATTGGACAACCCGTGGAAACCTTAGTCTCAGTTTAGCTTTATGAAGGAGACAATGAAAGGTTATGCGAATAGGATTCTTTTTACACGAGGACCTCAAGACGAAGCTTGTCCAATTTTTAAAAGAAAATGCTGAAGTCTTTGCTTGGTGTCCATCTGACATGCCTGAGACTGACCCCAATGTCATAGTTCACCGACTTAATGTGGACCCTAACATTAAGCCAGTTCAATAGTGTTAGAATATCACTTGTGAGTTGTCCCACATCGTTCATACATAGAAAATAGACTCACCTTATAAGTCTAATGGGCTACTCCTCCTTCCACCAATTGGTTTTGGGATGGAACCCCCTTGGGCTTCATATGGGCGTTCCCTGCTTTTGGTGCGCTTCATGTTAGTGGGCCCGCACTCGTTTTTCCCTCAGTTTCTTACATGGTTAGAATATATTTTGTATATATCTTGTAGGATTAGGTTTAGACTCATTATGTTCGTATATATATGTGTACATGTCTTGTGAATAACATAGAACATATATTTTTCCCACTTTCTTACACTTCGGATGCCCAAGCCCAACTGGATTGGGTGCCCCAAGCCTACTAGAAGCAGACTCTCATAAACGGGTACGTGGGGAAGCAGACTCCCATAAACGGGTACGTCGGATGCCCAAGCCCAACTGGATTGGGTGCCCCAAGCCTACTAGAAGCAGACTCTCATAAACGGGTACGTGGGGAAGCAGACTCCCATAAACGGGTACGTCATCGCACGGTCCCAATAGAACTGGCTCTGATTCCATGTAAGAAAGTGGGAAAAATATATGTTCTATATTATTCACAAGACATGTATACATATATATATATATATATAGGAACATAATGAGTCTAAACCTAATCTTACAAGATATATACAAAATATATTCTAACCTTATATACAAAATATATTTTAACACGAGGACCCACAAGTGAGGGGGCGTGTTAGAATATCACTTGTGAGTTGTCTCACATCGTTCATACATAGAAAATAAACCCACCTTATAAGTCTAATGGGCGACTCCTCATTCCACCAATTGGTTTTGGGATGGAACCCCACTTAGGCTTCATATGGACGTTCCCCGCTTTTGGTGCGCTTCATGTTAATGGGCCCGCACCCAATTTTCCTCAAGTTTCTTACAAATAGAATCAATATCCAATTTAGAATAAAAAAAAAAAAAACCTAAATATTTATCTTGAAAAAGAAAATAATGCTTCAGAAATATATATCTTTATCTAGTATGCCCCAATATAGAAGTACTTTGAAAATTAATGTAGAATCTAAAACGAAAAAAACAAATATAAATTTTTTTAGTACATAAAAAGAGCTTAAAAACATTTTTAAAATTGGAATGTTTTATTTTTAAAATACATAGCTTTAAAACATTTTTAAAATTGGAATGTTTTATTTTTAGTATATATAGACTATAGTGATAATTTATCATGGGCGTATCTATTCTCCTGTGGGGAGCGATCTTAGTTGGTGTTTTGTTGGTTTTTAGTTTTGTGTTTTGTGTTTTTTCTAGCGTGGCTAGCAAGGTTCTAGGCGGTCAATTGGATCCGTTCTCTCAGTTTTTAGTTCCGGGGTGTATTATTCAACCTTGAGCTGCTTTATTGCACTGTTGTGCATTTTGATATATAATATTTCTATCGTTTTGGACAAAAAAAAAAAAACATCCCAATGTGCAATTTTATCATGAAATTACATATAGTGAGAATATATAATTACACATCCAAGTTTATAAATTATATCATTATTATGTAAACATACTATATCCACAGTTTTTTGCAAAATTATCTTCGTCTGATTGTCGTATAGTTTATCGCATAAATATTTAGCACTTTATCAATTATCTTTGCCTTTCTATCGCATATCTTTTGGCATAACTATTTCGCACTTCATCAGTTATCTTCGTCTATCTGTTGCATAACTTTCTGCATAATGTTTTTACACTTTATCAATTATCACTACTTGTCTGTCGCATAGTTTTTCGCATCAAATATCTTCGTCTATCTGTTGCATAGTGTTGATATCCGAGTTAGCCAGGAACGAACCGGGGAGACGTTGCTATCGAGACCCGAGCCTAGGACCCGGTCTAAGGAGGAAGCGCCGAGCTGAACCGGAAAGTAAAGTGTTCAGGATTTCGACGGGAGCGCCTTTTGACGTCGGCACCCCGGCTCGTGAATGAAGGAGCTGGGGTGGATGGGTGCCGGACTGGCGAATGGATCAGGAATGTTTTGTAAGCATATTCGAGAAAAGTGCCGACCTGAAGATGCAGAGCGGCCACTCCGAGGTTAAGGCGGGGCTCGGTGAACATTAAAATATTCCCACTTGGAAGGTCATCATTGAGCGATGGGACGGACGTTCGTAGCCTGTCGCCCTATAGGCAAGCCTAGACAAGAGAGCCTGCCAGCATTAAATGCCCCCCATGCTTGCATTAAATGCCTGACAGTTAATGCTTACAGAAACCTCAAATCGCATTAAATAGACGTCAGGGAGACGCCGAACTGCCCTGCAAGATTACTGTGCGACAAGACCGGTGAACAGTAGCTGAATAGTATCATATTAAAGACTACTATAAATAGCAGCTCATTTCATTTATTTTGGGTTGTTGAATCCCAACTAACTCTGCTTCCCCTCTACTTTCTCTCTCTAGAAATTGTAAGAAACTTGTTGTAAGAACTGTAAGTATATCGCAAGTGCCGACCTCGTACGAGAGGCCGACCTCGTGATCGTTTAATAAAATCGTGATTAAACTGAACCATTCTCCCACTTTCAATCTTATTTCCGACATTCGTTATTTCTAACCGTTGACCGAAAACGCTCGTCAACAGTTTGGCGCTAGAAGGAGGGCACCATAAGTTACTGGGTGTCAATTGTTCGACCTTGTGAAATCCCGTATTCACTCACTCCCATTCGCTTTGAATCTCATTCAAGATGACTTCGTCCAGCAACAACGAGTCAACCCAGCAGTCCGGCGCTCAGCCCCGCCGACGCAACGGCGAAGAAACTTCTCGCCGCAACCAGCAAGGGACCCAAGACCCCGTCCCTCCTGTCCCTACCTTTGCTGCTGCCATGCAGCATCCCGATGTGCTCAAAGCCCTGGAGGGGGTTTTCGCCAGAGCCCTAGCAAGCCAGGCACCCGGGGGAAACACTGCGGCAGCCACGGAAAATCCCGTCAACACTCTGCTCCAAACCCCCGACAAGGAGGCCGGGGGGCAGCAGAAAAAACCCACCAAATCCAAGACGACGGCTCAATCACCCAACCGCTCCGCCCAAGTCAGGCGCGAGAAAAACGCCAGACCGACGCCAACAGAGCAGACTGGCGAAAGCCAGCCAGACCGGAGCCTCCAGGTCATATGGCGCTCCGTGTACCAGCGCCTTGGGGACAAAACCCAGGCCAACCGCGACCTCCGGGACGTGATTGAGCGAGGCAAAAACATCGGGCGTGACGCGGACGAAGTCGCGGCCCTCAAGCGCCGAATTGCCGAATTGGAAGGTCGGCGCTCTCCCCCAAGGGGCACATCACCTCCTCACTACTCACAACCCACTCCACGTGTCGTGGACCACGCTTCCCCCCTCTCTCCTGACATCCTGCGCGAGCCCGTACCCCAGAAAATCAAGGTGCCGCAGCTCGGGCTTTACGATGGAAACTCGGATCCCGACTCCCACATCGGCCTTTACACCTCATGGATGGACCTGCACGGCGCGACAGACGCCTTACGCTGTCGCATGTTTTCCCTGACCCTGGGACCAAAGGCGCAGAGATGGTACCATTCTTTGTATCCGCACTCAATCTGCACTTGGGGCCAGCTCAGGTCGGCATTCCGATCGCACTTCATCGGATCACAGATCAGCCTGGCCCCCAAGGAATCAATCGCCAACATTGTCCAGGGCGAGGACGAGAGCTTGAAGGACTATATTACTCGGTTTAACGACCGAGTTCAGAATATGGAACAGTGCCAACCCGAGACCCTGCTCGTCTCCGTGCAGGCCGGGCTGAAGCCAAAAACCTTGTTTAAGTGGTCCCTGTGCCAAAACAAGCCAGCCATCTACCAGGAGTTCCTCGCCAAAGCCCAAAATTATATAATGGCCGAGGAATCCTCGTCCATCCCGGTGCTGGACGCCACGTCGAGCAAGGACAAGAATAAAGATAAGTCAGGGAAGTCCGGCAAGACATTTGCCGAGGTGCGGGCCATGAGGAAGCAAAGAGCGGAAGAGCTCAAAGAAAGCTACCAGGGCGTCTTTTCCGTTGGTGCTGTCGCGGTCTATGAGGAGATCAAGGCGAAGGGCTTGTTGCCCGACCCGAAACCCATGTTCA